GGTAACCTATGTGATCCGCCTCTCTCTGGTCGTCTCCCTCTTTGTCCCGCATCCTCTGTCGGAGGACCGCGTTGAGAAGGATCATCCACCGCCGTTTCCCCCCCCACGGCACCTCGATTTTCAACTCCTCCCATGGCATCATCAGCATCATCCGGTGAGAGCAAGCGATTGAGTCCCGCCCCCACATCATCAGGAGCAGGGGGTCCGAAAGGGACAGTGGAGTCCTCAGTCATCATGCAGAAGGGGTCAGGAGGGCAAGAGAAGAGAGAGAGCGGCGCCAGGGTCGCAAGCAGGAGGGCAGTAGCACGGCTCAAGGGAGTCCCGGGTTAGGCAACGGTTTAGGGTTTAGGGCGGGTAAACTCGGCACTTGAAACAGAGTGGTTAGGGTTTAGGTTTAGGGTTTAGGTTTGTTTTTTGCTCCACTTTCTGTCCGGGTTTGCATGGTGGAGTTTTTTTGGGCTTTTAGGATTTAGGGCTGTTAGGGTTTAGACTCTGGCAACTCGCAAATTTTAAGGGTTTAAGGGTCGAGGGTTGAGGGCTTGGTTTAGGATTTTCATCTGTTGGGGCGTTCAAGTTTTGCTTTGTTGACACCCCTTTCTCCGACTGCTGGTAAGGCTGAACTAAAGGTTGAAAGGGCTTGGTTTAGGGCTTTCGGCAGCACACTCGGACAATCCAGGCGAGGCGTCCGGCTTAGGGCTTTCAAGGGTTTGGACCTTACATTCAGGGCTTTTCTGCCTCAAGGTATGCGCGGTCTAGGGTTGATGCTCTCACACTGACTTGTCAGATGACAAGATTCGCCGATCCAACGGCAACAGAATCCGCCTCCTCGAAATCGTTGGACCCTAGCAGGCCCTGAGCACGCCGGTAGAGCGCTTTGATGTTCTTTGGGTCCTGATGATGTGGGTGGTGGGGATTTCGGGGAGTGGGGTGCAGGCTCTATTGTGAGTCTCCAGCAACTTGGGGGAGTGTGTTTTGAGGCTGGTTTTTCAATATCTCCAACACAAGCCTTAACCGATCCCTTGATGTCGTCCGACCAACCCTGAGCCTAGGAACGGTATCTGCAGTCTAGCGTAATTATAAACTTTCTGATCTCAGAAGCGAGGACCCGATTACAACTACCGCAAGCATAGGATGAACTCCAAGTACCACCAAAGGGAAAGCGAGGAGCCACCAGAGTGATGTCTATCGCGATGTCTGCAAGCGTGCTGTGTCAGAATGTCTGTGTGTGTGTGTGTCTGTGTGTGTTGGGGGGGAGGTTGTTAGGGATTGCAATGGTTCGGTGGGCTGAGTACCCAAACAGGCAAGATGCACGGAGCCATGGCATGTGCCAAGCGGCTGTGAAAGCAATGTCTTCTTTGTGCAGGACGTGAAGCACCAGAAATCGAATCAGGTTCGATCTGCGACTGGAAATATCTCTAGGACTCACAGTAGTTATGATAGTAACCGTTGCTATGGTACCGATGACCGTACGTGTCATATCAGTGCGAGACAAAACAGCCGACACAACTCAGGCAACACTGTCCTTCTGTTGAATTGAGGCCTGGGTTTGGGACGGCTGGATTGCTTAGGGGTTTGAGAAGGGTTGTTCTGATAAGAGGACGGAGGCCCGAACTCTTCCATTTTATCACCACCCACCCCGCAACAAAGAAAACAACAACATGAGTATGGACCTAGAGATCTTTATCGATCCATCTGTTCATCATGATTCGGGTGCATGATATTGCGTTGGTGTTTCCCAGCGGCCGACCTCCTTCAGGACCTCATCGCAAAAGCGAGCAGCAGAGTAGGCAAGGTCGAGCCTCAATGCCTTCGCACAAGACAGCCAAGTTTCTTGGAGGGATCAATACATGGAAGTCATGGAAGATGTTGGCTAGGTCGAAAACAACTCATCGATCTATCTTTATACGTTGCAGCAGTGGGCTCTTCCCGGATCATGGGTGCGATAAGATCACAAAACCCTGTTCTTGTGCTCGCGCACGGCGGACTGTGCAAAGTGTGGCCATTTCAAGAGGTTACAATGCATGGTGTCGAGTGCCGAGCGTACCTGTAAATTGAAAGTGAGCAGTCTTTTTTGGTCTAGCAATTCGTATGACGATGGCTCTGGGATTTAGCTTGTGTAAGGTTACAGTTGACACTGTGCATGCGAGAGACAGAGAAAGAAACGAGAGAGAGAGAGAGAGTTGATCGGGTTTGCATCCAAGGCACGCAGGCAGCGAGATTGAGCCGGCATGTGTTCTTGAGCTCCTTGTCACATGGAGTAATCCCAGAAACATAGACCGCGAACGCGTGGGGCTCAAAAACGTGCTGACTAAACCCTACCCCTTGGCCCAAAAGACGTCTAACTTCGTATTTGCTGTATTTCTGAAGTACTAAACTACGACCGGTGCTCGGCCCCTGCTCCTCCCCAGCCTGTCGCTCTTCCGGATCCTCAAACACCTGGCAATAACACAACATCACACTGTCTGGAAAGCATGACTAGCCATAGGCCCTAAAGTAGTTCCTTTTTGGGTTCATATATAAAATCCTATAAGGTAATCTCAAAAAGGAACTACTATGGGGCCTATGGGTAGCATCAGGTGAGAATAAGCGATCAGCGACGTAGACATGACACTGTCTGCAGTAGGACAAGAGCAAGTAAGAACGATGAAGGGCAGGGTCACGGACAACAAACTCAATGCCACTGAGTTGTACCGACGGAGGTGATACTGAGTGTCACTGTTACTGCCGCTGCTGCTGCAACGACAACCACCGATAATGATAGCACTACTACTACTACTACTACTACTACTACTACTACTAGTACTAGTATACCACCACCACCACCACCACCACCACGACCAGGACCAGGACCAGGACCACTACGACGACAACTACTTCTACGACTACTACCAGTGCTACTGCTGCTCCTACTACTACTTCTACGGCTATTGCTCCGACGAACACGACGACGACTTCGACCACGACCACGACTTCGACTTCTTCTGCTATAACAACGACAGCTCCTACTGCTACTACTGCTACTACTACTACCACTACCACTACCACTACCAGTACTAGTACCACTACTACGACTACGGCTGCGACTTGGTCACTGCGGCTGCAACTACAACTACGACGACGACTACTGCAACTACCACTACCACTACCACCGCCACTATTAAAACATGATACCAGCAATCTTAACAGGAAGAAAAACAAATGAAACGAACAGTAATCATAATCATAATGAAAAGGAAGACTTACACAAGTATTAGTTACAGTGGCATTGCTGATAACATGACCATGCAGACAATAATAATACCCATAGCTGTATACCAACATCATGACGAATAGGACTAACATTAGCATTACCATGAACAGTGCCATTAGCATTAAGGGCACACTCATATACACAGTAACTGCAACTGTAACAACAACAATAATCGCAATAGTCATAACCATTATCGCACTAATGATCATACTTACAACCGGGGAGCATCCCAAATCAATCGTTACAATAACAATGACAACATCGCAATACCATGGCCATGCATACCTGAGCACAACTGATGTTTATCGGCAAGAGCAAGTCAGTTACTCGTCTAACAGCCTGTAGATAGCATCGTATCTGCCCACCTGTGTTCACATCCTTGGGTCTGAATGCCGCGAAGGCAAAGCCCGCGCCTCCACGCTGGTGGTGCTGCCCAAAGGCCGCTTGTAACGCGGGAGAAGAGCTACGACTCTGGAGTATCGTTCCTGAGGCCAGGCACAAACAGGGGGAGCTTCAATTTATCAGCCACCGACTCTATGAACGAACGAACGTTTGACATTCAGAGCAGTCAGCAGTCAACAAGCCAAATCACATCTCAACCGGCTAAGGTACAGTAAGAACACGCTCAATCAACCTCCTGGCTGCCACACTCGGCCAGTGACATATGCAAGGCGGACGCGCCCAGCTTTGAAGTGAGCTGAGCCTAGCCAGCGAGGCTGCTGCAGGACCAAGCACAAACACGGCGATGACAAGGGGTATCATATTATTACTGAAGTACCGGCCATGTTTGGCGAAACGTCGCAGTCGTTGCTCCGAAGGTATATGCGTGGGTGATGATGGACAACCCAGCTACTCTTAGGAAACCTGGGACGTTCCGCTCCCCTGCTCCCGCTCCTCGCTCCTTCTGCTTTTGGCAGAACTCCAGCCTCGGCACGACAGGTGAACTTTGGTAGTTCTCTAAAACAGGGTCCCTTTTTAGGTCCCTAATATAGTACGGCACCCTTATAATAATGACCCTAAAAAGGAGCCTAATTTAGAAAACTACCCACTTTGTACCCCAGGACCTCGATTCACTTGGCTGCATCCGCCAAGGCAAGGGAGCAGCAGATTCCGAGCATGATAGATGATATCAAGCTCTCTTTATGAGCAGGATACATTCCCCAATTACACTCGGTCAAAGGGAGTCCCTACAGAGGGTTGCGGGTTGAAGCTTTAGGGTTTAAGTTGCCGGGGTTTCATGAGCCTCTAAATATTTCGGCCCCTATATTTTAGAACCCGTATAGTAACCCTTATAGCATCCCTTTTCAAGGAACCCTTTAAAGGAACTTAACCCACGCGCCAAGAAGCAGGTCCGTCGAGTCACTGGGGCCTTCCTCCGGCGGTGGATTGCCTGGGCAACATCCTGAATATGGGTGGCTTTAAAGAACTATGGGGTTGTGGTGTGCATTGACAAGAAAAAAGGAATAACTATAAAAACCAGGAAACTCTCAAACCGCAATATGACGATCTCGTCTCAATTTCTGAACTGTTCGACAGGCTGCTTCGAGCCTCAATTTTCCTGAGGGCCCTGCTAGAATTGCTAGAGGATAGCAGGTCCTTCAGCCAGATTCTGCCACAGCCTTTATGCATTTCTGGATTATTCCCGGTTCCGGTGCTGAGGCAAGGCCCTTGGAGGATGAAGCTCCTGCAAGCCCAGAGCAAGGCCATACCCTAAACCAGAAAGAAGCCTTATTTCCAGACTCTGGAAACATACACGGTACTGTCTCGCGTTCACTTTTACTTTGGCTTCAGCCATTGCCCAGGACCCGAGTCCCTAAACTCCCCAAACTGCGGGCCAAAGCTGCCGAAGTCGACCATCTCCAGCTTGAAGACCACGTTGCCAGACTCCGCAGGCACCTAGTCTCAAATGCACTACGAGGGTGGAGAAAAAAACTCTCCTCGGCTACAGCCGCGCTGAAACCCAAAGCCTGGAAGCCCCGAGCCTCAGACGAGCTCGCTCTCTCTCCAGAGACAGACAGACAGACAGACAGACAGACAGACAGACAGACAGAAAACAGAACAGACAGAAAGGACAGACAAACAAACAGGTAGTGAGACAGAGTGAAAAGCCAGAGAGAGCGAGAGAAAGAGCGAAAAAGAGAGAGAGAGAGAGGAGCGGAGGGAGGACTGCTGGGGGTCAATCTCGGGCGCCGGAAGAAGTTGCATGATCCATATACTGCATGATTAGAGCATATTGTGTTGTGTTGTGTTTTTAGGGCGATGTCTGTGTACATGCGATGCGCAGCATAATATGGTACGGCAGAACAAAGTTAGATGAGTATATACATACATACGTACGTACGGACATAGATCTGAAATTGCAGCATACTGAATAATTAACTAATTAAAATACCAAGACAAAGCTCTGTGTGTATATATATATATACAAGGTACATATGCATATATATATATATATATATTTATATTTATATTTGTTTGTTTATGTATTTATTTTGTATATGTATTTATTTATTTTCATATTTACCTTTATTGCATACACTGCAACTAGTCTTCCGGCAATTTACACCAACCTAAGAATAAACACCCGTCTTTGCCGCGCTGCTTCGAGGTTCGGCACACCCGGCACATGCAAAGATGGGATGGGCTTCACCGTAACCAGTGCGACTTCTCCTCTCAGGGCGCGGCTTTATCCTACCGAAAAAACCATTCCGAAACTCCAGAGTATCCATGACCCAGGCGTCCTTTGCGCATGCAAGCACAGGCTGCTTCCAAAGCGTCGCACCTCCAGTTGCGTCGAACTTTCGGTTCACGTCTTCGGTGGGCAGACAATAATTCAGTCTCTACAGATTCTGGTATAGAGCTACTTTGAGTGGTGGATGCCCAATATCTGCCACCAAAACAACGTTGAGAAAAGGTGATTTCACTCATGCTCTGCTTCAGAGAATTTCGACTTACAGAACCTGCGCGATCGTGGGGCCTGGTCTTCCTTCCAATCGTCTCGTCCGAACCAGTTTTTGCTTCTCTATCTCTCTGTCTCTATCTCCGCTGTGTCGGTCTGTCAGTCTCTGTGCTTATTGCACTTGTGGGCGTGTGTCCAGTTCATAGCCTAGTGGCATCTCGCCATTGCCAACGACGCTGTTGACCATGACTTCTTCACTTAACTTCTCCTCCTCGACACGGGGTTCTGTCTGATCGGGAAAGCCTGCTCAGACGTTCGACGGTCGAGCCCAAAATGAAACAGTGACTGACTTCATCCTCAGCAGCTCTCCCAAAGCGTGTGAATACTGTCGCGGCAAGCTCCTGACCAATCGTAGCACTCAGCAACTTCACCTCACATTCGCAAATTTGCCGGACTTCAGGGCTGATAGTATGGCTTGGCCCACAGGGATGCGCAGCCGACCGGCAAATTTGGAAACCGTGAACACGCGCTTCTCTCGGTGCCTCCAGAAGCCCTAAGCACAAGACTGACCTCCAGGTTTGGGCTTGGTTTGCGGATAGCAAGCCGCAGCAAGCGCAGAAGGTTCACATGTTGCCAACTAGGCGCTTTGAGAGACTAAAGACTACAAACGTGTAAAGCAGTCGACATCCATACCACACACTCTTCCGAAACAGTACACCCCGACTGTAAAGGCCTGTAAAGGCCTACACATGAGTATGTACTACGACATCAAGCCGGTAAACTCCTTCGCGGATGGAGATGCTTGACTTAGAACGATAAAAATCGAGAAAAGCGAGAGGGACAGACTTGGGCAGCCAGGTTCCATTATGACCATCGCAAAAAAACCTTTCTCGGATCAAGTCATATACTTGTGCGCATCAGTATACGAATCACTAACCCTCAACCTTAAACCGCAAATGCAATGGTTGGCATCACCAAGGGACCTTGCACCACGTACCATCAAAGCCAGGGCAAAGCCGACTTCGCACCGCCTTGATGGCCTAAGTAAGTGTGCAGTTTGAACTCCCACTGTCGGACTACTCCAGGCCAGGTGGTTCCGGTCGGAAGGCACTCACAATGTTTTGAGTAGCGTTCCCAGCCACGCCTGCATGGTGACTCTGGTGCCGCAGGCAGACATGCCACTCTCGGGCATCCAGAGAGTCACTCTTTCTTTTCACACTAGCTTCCTGGACCAGCAAGGAGACAGCAAAGAAGGATTCATTACATGTTTTTCAGTATGGTGGGGTCCAAAGTCCCGAACATCCAAGAAGGGCTTTCCACAGGGCACTCCTTCAGAACCGAGCTCATGAGTAAACGGATCCTTGTGAGTTTCCAACCCTGAACCTTGGGCGCTCCCCCAACTGCGGCAAAGATGCCTTCTTCATGACTAAGTTCTCTTCCTCAGTGGCTGTGCTTGTGGGCTTTGAACAAGAAGGCGCGACATCTCAGGCCATGTCCAATCACAAGCAGGTCTTTGCATTACATTCTTCCGACCGGTTTTCCAATCCTGTAAAATGCGGGGGTGTGTTGCCATGAACGTGAGACTTACCTTTGCGGAGGTATTCTTAAAGCAATCGGCTGGCGTCAGCTTGGGCAGCGCTAAGTAAATAACAAGTGTTCTAGCCCCTGTGTCACAAATCCACAAAGCAGGTAGACACAGATACGGTTGACACATTCATGATCTATCATTTCATCACTATCAATTTCGCAGTCTCATCGGCACCAGATGAAGAAGCACATCTTCCTGATCTGGCCGGAAGGCCCAGGAGGCTTTCTTGCCGGCATCTTCGAACTCGTAGATCTGCAGCAAGTCCATATGTACCAGCACATCGGCCCTCTCTGGGATGCCCAGCTCCTGCCGCCACGAAACTTCGGCATGTAGTAACAGGGTTACCACAAGCCGGTTCAACTTCGTGCGGTAGCTCTAGTAGATTAGCTAATTCTCTGGCGGGTGTCATTGTTGGGTCCATGTTTTTATACTACTCAGCTACTCAGATTTCCATGTTGCCTGGCCTTGGGGGCTTTATGCTATATGATTGGCAAACTACCCACTGCTACTACTGCCGTCTGCTAGTGTTTTGCATCATGCTTGACTGCTTGCTGTTCCTACTGACAACCCTGTAACTCTATACCTTCGTTAACTTAGGTTGCGCTACGTCTCCTGAGTTCTACAAATTTCCTGACGTTCGCTAGTGCTACTTGCACGTGCACACGTGTCGCATTGTGACGAGTAGGCCTTTCTAACTGCTACAGTGACGAATATGCCATTCGTCGACGGGCTGGACTTCAAACAATGCAGACGCAGGTCGGGTTGGATTGCATCGGCCCGTAGCCAGCTGTAGAAGGAGTAGTAGTAGTAGTAGTAGTAGTAGTAGTAGTCGTCGTAGTTAGTAGCTAGTAGCTAGTAGTTAGTAGTTAGTAGTAGTAGTAGTAGTAGTAGTAGTAGTAGTAGTAGTGGAAGTAGTGGTAGTAGTAGTAGTAGTAGTAGTAGTAGTAGGTGTATGTATAGTAGTAGTAGTAGTAGTAGTAGTAGTAGTAGTAGTAGTAGTAGTGGCAGCAGCAGCTGTCGTCGTCATCGTCGTCATCGTCGTCTTCGTCGTTGAAGTGGTTGTGGTGAACTTCAGCTGTTGTAGCGGTACTATGACCCCATACCTGCTGAAGCCGTCCTGGTCGCCACTGTCACCCGCTGCATAATCGCTGCGACAGGCGAGCTTCACAGTCCTTGCTATGTTTCCGGTTGTACTGGCCTTCGTCATCAGTATCTGAGAAGGGGTACTAAAGCAAACTTGCTTTACTGTTGCGGTTGATTCGGGTTCTTTTTTCGAAATATAGTTCCAGGAGCCCGGAGCGCAACCGCCTGGGGTAGCTGCCGAAAACACAGGTAGTGTTGCCTGGACAGGGGAGCTGGTTTCCTGGACCCTGTAATTAAGCAGAATGGCACAAGACATCTCTTGGCGCCGCTACCCTGAACCCAAAACCCAAAACCCTAAGCCCCAAACCATAAACCTTGAACAAAAACAAGGCAGACTCGACAGACCTCCGGGCTGAAAGTCTTCAGGTCGGGAGGTCTGCGTCTTCATCCACTATAAACCCCAAACAATAGCCTGAACTCTGCGCATTCCGAACGCGATATATATATATATATATATGCACCGTTGCTCCGAAGTCTAGCCCAGGTGCGTGTTGGGCTTCAGGGACAGCAGCGACTTCTGGATGGCCTCGCAGTTGAAACAGAGTCATGGGTTTGAAGTTGTAGTCCAGTCGGACAAGCCCAGAGCTGTGCTTTGGGCTTAGTTCATTGAACCTCCAGGCACTGCAAGCGCCCAGACTTTAGGTAATTTAGGTGGGGGATCTGGCAAAATCCTGTGGCAAGGCTGCTGGCACCAAGCCTAGGACCTAGGAGGCACGCAGCTACAAAGACGCGATTATACCTGGAAGGCCTCAACCACTGGGAAGGGGAAGCACTAGAGAAACAGGACATGTGCACGGACTGATACCGATCCGTCCTTCGAGCAAAGAATCTCATTCATGCTGGGGCTGGCCATCCTCAGCAGAGCTTCGTGGACATGGCTTTTGGAGCCGATTGCGTGGCCGAGGTGCAAGGATGGCTGAGGCTCTCGTGGGACGAGGGGTCAGGAGAAAGACCAACAGCCAAGAGTCCGGAAATCGATGCCCACCCGCTTCTCGAGCACCTGCAGTGCTGCCCTGAAGGACGTGGATTCAGCAAGATCTTTGAATCTACAACTGCATCATGCTATCGTCCAGAAGACTGCCCGTAGACCCCACTACATCTAGCCCATGTAAGTGAAGGCTGCCGAATGCTAGAGTCCCATTCCCACTCAACCTATTTGGGGGGAGGAACCAGTGTGAAAAGCAACAACAATAAGACTACTGATAAGTATCATTAACATAGTAATACAAAATAGCCAAACAAATCACAGCCATCCTCCTCTACATTATGCAATACGAGGTAAGACCAGCCTCGCCGGACGGCAGTGACAGCACATAATTTATCTGCACCTGGCCAGGTGTCGTCGTCGAAGCTTAGGGTGTCATGTGCTCTTAAGGTGCTCTGAATATCCAAAGGATAGCAAGGCTTAAGATTCACGGGCTCCATCGGGGCCTGAAACACTCGCAGCTGTGCTACAATTTGTGTTTTCCGTATTTTGGCCTTGGGGGTGGGGTGGGGTGGATGAGCGGGTGGGGGTCAGGGACCAAGTCGACCTCGTCAGTAACTTTCGGAGACGGGCCGTAGTCATCGCCCTCCTGCATAGCAACACAGCGAAAAGCTACAAAAGCACCAATGCCAAGCAGCAATGCCTTGTTCATGTTCCAGGCAATTCTGAAGCGAAGAGTGTGTAGGTGAAAGTAGCTCCGTAGGTAGGTCGGTCAGTCGGTCCGGTTGGTAAAAGATGACATGTATACAAAAAGGTACACACACACATATAACTGTACTACGTAGTATGTGCAGTTTAAACACTAGGCGTGAGTAAACCAACCTGCATGGAGCAATGCACTCAGATATCGCGTGTACAGTCTTAAATTTGTGGTACATACACACACACAGAGACATACATATATATATATATATAGGTGTACGACTCAGGAGAAAGGGAAGGAGAGAGAGAGAGAGAGAGAGTGTGTGTGTACGTGTCTGCCTCTGTGGGATCTCCAACTCCGGCTAAGTGCTCCCTTGTTCCTTAGGCTTCGACTAACTCCTTGAAAATAGATGCTTCGATACACCGGTCAGCGGCAGGTTTAGATTGGCTGAGCCCAAAGATGTCCGACTGCACCCCAGAGTTCGCCCAAAGGAGTGCCACGTCCTCCAAAATAGTCTGCACCACACCGCCATCCCCTTGGCCAAACAGTCAGCATTTCGGAGAATCATGTCGACGGCTATGTCACAGCTGCTAAGAGATACTAGTCAAGTTATTAAGCATTGTACCCTTTACCAGTTTGAAGCTAAACGAAAACTATTTTTCAGCAGTGGCCAAGAGATTCCAGATCACCTCAGCCGTTTCAGCTTCCTATCTCGCTGCCTCGCCTAACGCGGCTCTTCGATGCCGAGTCACCAAGACGTATATAGAGTAGAGGGCTTTCGAGATGTATAGGGTTTACGGTTCAGGGTTTGGGGGGGGGTGCATCGAGGTGTTGAGAGGGCCGAGCCCTTACGTGCTTCTGTTCGCTGCCAAGGGCTGCCGCGCCAAGGCGCCGAAAAGGTCGGTAATGCTTCTGACAGCAACCAGCTCTATTTCGAAGAGGACGTCCTGCAAGGGCACAAGCAGAACTAACGAATCAGATCGAACATCATTCAGTTGGCGGCAGCTGCTTTTGCTGAGATCGTTCACACAGAAACCAAACTGCCACTCCGAGGAACATGATTGATACTACCAGCAACTTGACCCTGATCATCGCCACGGCTTGAGCATTTGCAGTAGCAGCCGGATACTGACGATGATGCGATGGCGGTGATGATGGTGGTGGTGGTGGTGGCGGATGGAGTTGGCATATGACGTGGAAGCCAAGTAGACGAATATTATGCCGGTAAGCATCATGACGATGCGATCGTGATGTGGATGAGGTCTGTATGTTGGTCAGGAAGTAGCCACATCCTGTAGCAGCTAATAGTACTTTAGAGCCGGAGAGGAAGCGGGACAAACTCCAACCCACTTTCTATCTACGCCTGCAAAGCAGCTGCAATCGTGGAGGGTCAAGAAGGTTTCCCTCTCTGAAGCAACCCCTGGCGGGCAAAATGCAAGAATAACCCTAAGAGCAAAGAAAACATGCAAATGGTCCCCGGGCCGCCGCCTGGCCGTCGTCTGGAAGCTTCTGTCGGAATCGATCCGGCCCTCCTGAGAGGTACATCTCCTCAGCCGATATGCAACTCCACTGCATGTCGGGAGTATGGCTTAAGAGAGGGGCCTTTCGCTTGCACAGCTGTGGCGAAATGGTTCACTATCGGATGGTGAGTCTTCCCGATTGCTGCGTTACGTCGCAACTGTTTGCGACAAAAAGCAAAGCAAAGGTCCAAGGATGCTTGTGTGTGCAACCAAGTCTCTGGCACCGTGAACTTCGAAGTCTCGCCCTGGCAACATCCCACACTTCCATGGCGATCGCAACATGCGGATTCGACGCAGGTCCGACAAAAGCACGGCAGCTGTAATCCCAAACACCCTTGCTGAAGGATTTGACAGATCGACAGAACCATTTTCCACTGTTTTCTGCCATGGCTGGATTCGAAGTAACCCTTGACTCTACCCACTCACTTGATCAGGGTCTCCAACATGTGAAAGCTCAGGCATCCGTTACAGTAGTCTCTTGCAGTGTCTATGTCTCTCTAGGTATACCTCTCTATACACTGTAGGTACTGCTCTTACAGAGAAGAAGCCAGTTGTATGCGAGAACGTGTAGGTCCATAATATGTACATACATTGACATGTACGGCTGTTTCAACATCAAGCGTGTACTATACTCGTCTATACTCTACGCAGGTGGCACGTATCCGGCCTTCTTCATAGTGGCCACTACGCGGTCCCAGGCCTCCATGACCTCCCGGCTTGCAACGAAAAGAAGTGCAGGAGCACTGAGCTGCTAACTAAGGCTGGGTAGCATGCGGGAAAACCTTCTCCTGCCCTTTCAAGACGTGAAAGATGGCAATAACGTCAAAATTCACATGTGTTGCTCGACACGAGAGCATGCTCTGCAGCTCGTGTAACAACGGCACGAATGAAAGAGTCCTAACAAGAGAGAGCGAGCGAGAGAGAGAGAGAGAGAGAGTGAGAAAGAGAAGCTGGCATGCTGTCATCACGCTGGGCT